TTTGAAGTGGCTGGGACACAAGTCAGGCCCTCTAAGTCCGAGACCATAGTTCTCTGTTAGAAAACACCTGATTGCCCCCTCAGGGTTGGGGAAGGTGCTGTCCCAGGGAAAGAAGTTCAAGTATCTTGGGATCTTGTTTATGAGTGATGGAAAATTGGAGCATGAGATGGACAGGCAGCTTGGTGCAGCATTAGTAGTAATGTAGGCAATGTACCGGAACATCATGGAGAAGAGCTCTCAGCTCTTGAACGATAAAATGATTGTTGGTACAAGCAGCCAAAAAGAGTTTCCTCTGTAGTGTGGCTGGGCTCAGTCTCAGAGATAAGGTGAAGAGTTTAGCAGAAGGAGCTCAGAGTAGAGTCGCTGCTCGTTCGGGTCGAAAGGAGCTAGTTGGTTTGGACATCTGATTCATATACCTTCTGGGCGGCTTCCTTTGGAGGTTTTCCAAGCTTGTCAACTAGGAGGAAACGTTGGGGTAGACCCAAAACTTGCTAGAGGGACTATGTGTCTGATCTGGCCTGGGAACTCCCTGGAATCCCCCAGGAGGAACTGGAAGGCATGACTGGGAAAAAGGATGTCTGGAATGATCCGCTTGGACGGATGGATTGACAATGGACGTCAATACAGTGTCACTACTTTTAAATGTTGTCTAGCGGACGAAGAGTTTAATTGAATTCTGTGTCACAGAAAACCACAGCAAACCAATGACTGTACGTAGAGGATTTAGAGAGAGACGAATTTCTGTTTATTTGCAAACACACTAAAACACACACATGCACACTGTACCTGTTCTTCAGGACTGTTTATCACCACCAGATCTGCTCCTCTGTTTTTACAGTCCGTCCTGCCTTTATCCCAGGAACCAGATGCTTGAGAGAGGAGATAACACGTACAACTGTACATGCTCCATCCTGCAGGACACGTTTTCTCTGGAAGGGATATCAAACAATGCTTATTACTGATCAATATGTCCATGTATTGATGAAGCTATTTTTATGTTTTCAGGAAATGATCCCTTAACGCCCCTACAACGATGCTTATTTGATTGGCTTAACATAATTGGATGGTTTCAGACTCAGGTCTAAATAGAGCTTTGTCTGCAGTCCATGTGGTGTTTTTTATTTGCTAGAAGACATATTATGGCTGAGCATTTCTACCTTGAAACTGCAGTCCACCGATGACAATGTAAAAAAACAAGGCTTCAGATTTCTGGACTTTTATATGTAGCAAACCTAAGACCTCAGTCCTGTTCTAAGAGACACAACAGTGTAGAGTTACATCTAAATCATTGTAAGGCAGTCAGAGATTTTTTTTCTTTTAAGGAAACAT